GGATTTAATAATAAAGCATGCAGCAGCAAATAAAGGATTTAATAATAAAGCATGCAGCAGCAAATAAAGGATTTAATAATAAAGACTTTGCTAAGCTGGAGGGGTAAAAAGGCAAAAAGTCCGAAGTTTTGTTTAATGGACTTTTTTTTTTTTTTAATTAAAGTGGAAAAGAAAGTTCGAAAATTCGTCTTTTCGAAAAAGACAAACTCCTGCAAAGGCCTTCTTTGGGGACTTTGTGCATTTTGTACTTTTGTGTATTATATATTATATAAATATATTTCATTATATTGCATTACATATTATATTATAATATATATAATATAATATAATATAATATATATAATATAATATAATATAATATATATATAATGTGGAGAATATAATGCATATAATGATATATAATAATATATAATATATAACAGAGTTCATATATAATATTCTTCGTATTACATATGAAGCATTTTGCACATTGTATGCGCACAAACACATATTATACATGTTTAAGAGAATATACAAAATATATATATATTATATATATTTAAATATATAAATAAATATATATTTCAAATATATAATATATATACACAAATTAAACACATATAATAACATTCGCGCATGCAATTGGGGCCTAGTGGAGCAATCCGCGCATTGTCGCTGCTGCAGCAACAGCGCCGCAGCAGCAGCAGCAGCAGCGCCGCAGCAGCAGCACTGCTGCTGCTGCAGCAGCAGCTGCAGCAGCAGCAGCACTGCAGCAGCAGCAGCAGCAGCAGCAGCAGCAGCAGGGCCGCGTCGCTGGGGCGTGGCTCACTTCTTCTCCCTGTGCTGCAGGGAAGTTGTGTCTGAAGAAGAGTTTGGCATTTCTGCACAAGACACAAACCCTAAAAGAGCGTGAGTGTCTTTTGCTCGATAAAAGAAAGACTCCGAAATTCCCAACCCCGAGATCAGACAGCCCTTCGCGCCGTCTGTACACTCCTGGAACTTCATCCGCACTTTCGCCATCCGCGTGTGCAGCTCAGCAGCAAACCCTGCAGCAGCAGCAGCAGCAGCAGCAGCAGCAGCAGCAGCAGCAGCAGGTTCAGCTTCACGCTTTCGGCTTTCCTCCCTTTTGTTTCTTTCACTTTTATTATGTCTTCTTCATATTTACATCATACTTCCAAAACGGATAAACTGATATACTTGGCGGCCCAGTTGCTGCTGCTGCTGCTGCTGCTGCAGCTGCTGCTGCTGCTGCTGCAGCTGCTGCTGCTGTTTTCGCTAATTCAGATGCTGCTCTTTCGCTGCTGCAGATCCTAGAGAGTTACGAAAGCCACCGCCATCCTTTAATTAATTTAATTAATTTAATTAATTAATTAATTAATTAATTAATTTATTTATTTATTTATTTATTTATTTATTTATTTTATTTATTTATTTACCAAATGCGACGCCAAGAGACTCGGGGCAAAGGACTTTAACAGTGCCGTCCATATTGACCACTTTGGAAGCCACCCCTGTGACTGTCTCCGCCACATTTACGATGTCCTGAAGACAAACCCTAAACCCTAAACCCTAAACCCTAAACCCTAAACCCTAGGCCCTAAATCCTAAGCCCTAGGGCCTGAGGAGTAGGGACTGAAACCCTCGGGATCAAAAGAAACCCGGAACGCAAAACCCAAGCCCTCCCTCATTTCAGACAAACCCTAAACCCTAAACCCTAAACCCTAGGTCACAAACCCTAGGAATAGAGAAACCCTAAACCCTAATACAGAAGCACAAACCCTTGTGAGCGTCCCCTCATCTTTTGCAGCGCAGCGCAGCCTGCCCTCCAAACGCGAAACCCTAAGCCCTAAACCCTAAACCCTAAACCCTAAACCCTAAACCCTCAATTACCTGCAAGCCTGGCGTTTTCTCTTCCACGCATGCAATCCACACGAAGTTCTTTTCGATGCCTCGCGTGGCCAAAACGCTGCATGTGGGGACCCCTGAAAGCAAAGAGACAATTCCGAGTAAACCCTAAATTAGGGTTTGAGCTTCAATACCAAGCAAAAGCAAACAACTAGGGTTTCCACGCCAGCAAACGCAAGAGGAAGCCGCAAAGGCTTAGATCGCCCGGCTATCCTTAACTCTCTAAACCCTAAACCCTAAACCCTAAACCCTAATCCCCTGTATATTTGCTTAGCCCTCCCTTATTTTTGTAGTCCAAGTAAACCCTAAACCCCAAGTCTGAAGTCCATCAAGAGATCCCGGGGCCATCCACTGCAGCCCTAGCGTCTCCCAAGGATTTAGGGTTTAGGGTTTAGGGTTTAGGGTTTAGGGTTTACCTGCTCTGCAAGGAAAGAACATTGTTTTCAGGGGACCCTCACGGCCCCCTGCCAGCGACAAAGTGAAGCCGCTCAAAATGACAGAGCCTTGGGGGCAAACAGCCATTGCTTTCTGAACAGCCACAAACCCTAAACCCTAAACCCTAAACCCTAAACCCTAGTTCTTCCATTCTGAAGCATCGCTGCTGCAACAGGCCCCACCGTAGTGGTCTTTGCACAGTGCTGTTTCGTTCCATGCAGCTACGGCTGCGCCCGTTCAAACTCTAGTCTTCAGCGTTTAGAGTTTAGGGTTTAAGGTTTAGGGTTTAGGGTTTAGGGTTTAGGGTTTACTGCTGGGCCTTGGGCGACGACTTGTTCAAGTCCTGCGACGGGCTCGGGGCCACAAAGGGCGAAAATGCGAGTGTCATCGCCTTCTTTGGGTGGTTTTTCAATTCCGTCGCATTTGTCTCTGAAAAAGAAAAAAAGAAGTAAAAAAAATGAAAAAAGAAATAAAAGTGAAAAGCATTTCCCCCAACAGTTTGCAACCCCTTCAGCGGCTCCAGGTGTAGATACACCCCGCCTCCCCACTTCCAGAAAAAAGCGGAAAAAACGCCGCCAGCCCAGGACCTCGGCTGAAGGGCTAGGGTTTAGGGTTTAGGGTTTAGGGTTTAGGGTTTAGGGTTTAGGGTTTAGGGTTTGCGGACCTGCCGGAAGGGCAGGCTTTGATTTCTGCGTCTTGCGCAATGGCTGTGTCGCTGAGGAAATTCAGTTGAAGTGCAAAACCCAACAAAATCCGCTCGTGGGGGGCGCAGAAAGCATAGCCAGGAGGGTCTCCGGCGTAGGTGACTTGCGTGGCTTTTCGCAGCTGAGAGAACAAAAAATTGGAGTTTAATTCAAATTAAAAGTTGGAGTTTAATTGGAATTAATGGTGGAGTTTAATTGGAATTAATGGTGGAGTTTAATTCAAATTAAATGGTGGAGTTTAATTGGAATTAATGGTGGAGTTTAATTCAAATTAAATGGTGGAGTTTAATTGGAATTAATGGTGGAGTTTAATTCAAATTAAATGGTGGAATTTAATTGGAATTAATGGTGGAGTTTAATTCAAATTAAATGTTGGAGTTTAATTGGAATTAATGGTGGAGTTTAATTCAAATTAAATGGTGGAATTTAATTGGAATTAATGGTGGAGTTTAATTCAAATTAAATGGTGGAATTTAATTGGAATTAATGGTGGAGTTTAATTCAAATTAAATGTTGGAGTTTAATTGGAATTAATGGTGGAGTTTAATTCAAATTAAATGTTGGAGTTTAATTGGAATTAATGGTGAAGTTTAATTCAAATTAAATGGTGGAATTTAATTGGAATTAATGGTGGAGTTTAATTCAAATTAAATGGTGGAATTTAATTGGAATTAATGGTGGAGTTTAATTCAAATTAAATGTTGGAGTTTAATTGGAATTAATGGTGGAGTTTAATTCAAATTAAATGTTGGAGTTTAATTGGAATTAATGGTGGAGTTTAATTCAAATTAAATGGTGGAATTTAATTGGAATTAATGGTGGAGTTTAATTCAAATTAAATGGTGGAATTTAATTGGAATTAATGGTGGAGTTTAATTGGAATTAAATTGAGTTCGAGTTGAAGTCAAGTTCAAGTTGCATTTAGTTCGAGGGCCAGTTCAAGTTCTTGGGATTCTGTTCAAGTTCAATTCAAATTCGACTCAAATTCACATTTTGGCCGTTCAATTCAAATTCAATTCAAATTCAATTCAAATTCAAATTCAAGTTTTTGCAATTAAATTCGAATTCAAATTCAATTCAAATTCAAATTAAAGATTTTGCAATTCAATTCAAACGGAATTAAATTCAAATTAGAATTAAAGTTTGTGTAATTCAATCCAGACTCGAATCAAATTCAAATTCATATTGGAGTTTTTGCAATTCATTCGAACTCCAATTAAATTTAAATTAATATGGAAGTTTTAGCAATTCAGTTCAGTGCAGTATGTGTGCATATATGCCTATTATTTATTTCATGCATGCAGAATATGAATACATACATATAGATATATTTTGCGAGTAATGCATTTATTGCATTTATCTAAGATGCATAGAACAATATGTCCGCGTTAATAAAGTCATCATAGACCTCCACAAAAACAGAAACACCGAGGGCTGTTGAAAGAAATAAAGAAGTGCGAGAAGTTGAAATGGAATATTTTTGGAGTTTTGCTTTGCGGCTCAGCGCGTGCTTGCGAAATTCGGGGTTTTCAAAAAAGTGAAAAAGATGAAAACTCACCACTTCGCCAATGGACTCGACTTTTCCCCCCATGGCACTGAGGTCGGACCTCGACATTCCAACTGCCTCCGCGTAAAAACGCGAAGCCTTTTCAAATGCTTCTTTTTTTTCTTGGGGCAGCAAATAGGAAAGCGACTGGATGGTGATCTTGACCTGCGTTCAGGTGTATGCGCATACACCCGAGCGGCCGCTGCACTGTGCAGCTTCCGGCGTGAAGTGGAAAGCAGCCGTTTTTGCGAGACTGGCGACGAACGAAGTGCGATCTCGCGTTCAGGGGGGTTTTAAATGGATTTATGAAGGAAATGGAACAAAAGCGGGAGAAATGTGTCGGGGAATTCGGGAGAAAAGGCGCGCTTTCCGTACCGGCATGGGGAGTTCCTCAACTGTGTCGGACCACTCGGCCATGGAGTCTGGGTCGGAAACGTCTTTTGGGACTCGGCCTCCGACGATAAGGGTTTCGGTTTCGTATTGGAAGTGTTTGAGTTGTTCTCTTTGTTCCGCTTCTTTGGAAACATTCGAAGAAACGCCGCCACTCACCACCCCGAAAGTCGCCTTCAACGCGCTCTTCACGTTCGTGCCGGAGCTCGTCAGCTGCGCGATGTCCGAGTTCGACATTGTGATTTGCTGCGTCAGCTTCCCGCCTTCGCCGCACGCAGCAGCACACCGAGCAGCAGCAGCAGCGCCTGCATTCCCCCCCCCAGCAGCAGCAGCAGCAGCAGCAGCAGCAGCAGCAGCAGCAGCAGCAGCAGCAGCTGCGTCGAACCTGCGAAGAGTTTGACGATGTAGTGAGTGCCGAACTGGTCAATGAAGTTCATCCAGGTCTTGACGTTGGTGTCTGCGCAAATGCTGTCGTGGCTGTTCTCCCGCCAGACTGCTGCGTTGCAGCCCTGGCCTTCGCCGCTGCTGCCGTCGAACACCTCCGGCAAAGCCGCCACTCCATCCGTGAACGCCAGCGTGTAGTTCCTGCACACATCCCCCCGCACCAACAGCAGCAGCAGCAGCAACTGCAGCAGCAGCAGTAGCAGCAGCAGCAGCAGCAGCAGCAGCTCCGCGACCGCAGCAACTGCAGCAGCAGCAGCAGCAGCAGCAGCAGCATCAGCAGCAGCTCCGCGACCGCAGCAACTGCAGCAGCAGCAGCATCAGCAGCAGCTCCGCGAGCGCAGCAACTGCAGCAGCAGCAGCAGCAGCTCCGCGACCGCAGCAACTGCAGCAGCAGCAGCACCGCAGCAGCAGCCGGGTTCTGACCAGCTGAAGTCGTCGCTTTGAGCGAGTCCGGCCTCGTAGCGGAGGCAGTAGGTTTTGAGTATGAAAGTGCGGGACTTTTTCTGCACGGTTTTCCGTGCTTGTTCGCGGTAAGCCGCAGAAGCCGAAAACGCGTTAAAGCCCAGCGAGTCGCCCGCAGCCACCGCCGCGTCCGCCGCCAACTCCTGCAAATAGTCCGCCAGCGTCGCCACTTCGCTCAAACGCTCCGACTGCTTGCAAGCCACGAAGGGGCGGCTGTAGGCCCCCAAAGGCTGCAACTCCTTCAAGTCCGGCGAAACCCCCGCGGCCGCCTGCAGAAAGCTGAACTGAATAATTGGAAAGCGAAGGCCGGGGTCCCCCATTAGATTGGGGTCGCCGAGAGGGTTTCCCTTCACTGCGTCGTAGCCAGCCCCGAGGTAGTCTGCGGAGCAATAAACCCTAAACCCTAAACCCTAAACCCTAAACCCTAAGCCCGAAGGAGCCCGGGGCACGGAACGCGGAGGGGATACGGGAATTGTCGGGCATAGGCACGCGGCTACGACGGGTTGCTCTTCGTGGCGGTGGACACAGAACACAGCTCGTCTGCACAAACCCTAAACCCTAAACCCTAAACCCTAAACCCTAAACCCGGAATGTTCAACAAGGACCATTCTACAAGGAACATTCTACCACAAGCACCGGGGCAACGAGGGGTTGCCCTTCATGGCGTTGAACACAGACCCCAGGTAGTCTGCACAAACCCTAAACCCTAAACCCTAAACCCTAAACCCTAAACCCTAGCCCGCAGCACTGAACAGTAGCCCGCAACACTAAACATTAAACCCGGAACACTCGAAACCCTAAACCCTAAACCCTAAACCCATGAAGTGGGGGTTACTGAGTCCTGGGGAGACGGTTTTGACGGTGCTGTAGAGGTCCTGGATGGAGGCTTTCTTCTGACTCAGTTCCATTTCCCGCAGTCTCCTTTCTTCTCGCCGCTGCGCCAACTCTCTTGCTGCTGCTGCTGTCTCCTTGGGGTCTTTTTGCCGCAGCGCGGGGCTCCAGTCCCCTGTACGTACACCCCACACCCCACACGCTGCTGCTGCTGCTGCTGCTGCTGCTGCGGTGCTTCGGAGCCCGTGTTTCTGCGGCTTGGCGGGGTGCAGTGGTCAGCTTAGGGTTTAGGGTTTAGGGTTTAGGGTTTAGGGTTTAGGGTTTAGGGTTTAGGGTTTAGGGTTTAGGGTTTAGGGTTTAGGGTTTAAGGTTTAGGGTCTAGGGTTTAGGGTTTAGGGTTTAGGGTTTACGGGTGCCTGGGAAGCTGTCGTTATCCCAGGAGTTGGATTGGGTGGTTTGTGTCTCCACTTCGCGGTTTTTGCTGCCAAGTTTGAAGTCGAAGCTGCTGCTGGAGTCTCCGGAGTCTCCGAAGTCTTGTGTCTCTTCTTCTGCTGCTGCTGCTGCCAGCAGATCGTCCAAGCTGCTGAGGGAGTCTTCTGCTGCTGCTGCATCATCTGCGTCGTCTGCTGCAGCAGCAGCAGCAGCAGCTTTGATCCCTTTTGCTGCAGCCTTCTTCGCGGCCTTCTTCTTCTTCTTCTTCTTCTCTGCTGCTGCTGCAGCACCTTCCTCTGCTGCTGCTGCTGCTGCTCCGTGCTGCTGCTTCTCCTTCTTCGCAACTGCAGCAAACCCAAAACCCTCCACAGGCACTGTCCCCACAAAGGGATCGTCTCCCCTGGGATCGTCTCCCCTGGGATCGTCTCCCCTGGGATCGTCTTTCGATCCCGAGGCCCTTCTTCTTCGCTGCTGCGACCCCTGCAAAGCCTGCTTCTTCCGCTGCTGCTGCTGCTGCTGCTGCTGCTGCTGCTGCTGCTGCACAGGCGCCTGCCTCCGCCTCCTGGCCGCTGCTGCTCCGCCTTCGCCAGCTGCTGCTCGTCTTCCTGCTGCTGCTGCATCTCTTGCTGCTGCTGCATCTTTTGCTGCTGCTGCATCTTTTGCTGCTGCTGCACTTCCTGCTGCTGCTGCATCTCCTCCGCCGCGAGAGAAAAGCGCGTTCAGCACGTCCACGCCGGAGGCGTTGGCGTCCAGCTCGTTGCTGCTGCTGCTGCTGCTGCTGCTGCCGTCGCTGCTGCTGCTGCTGCTGCTGCTGCGCGGCTTTGCTGCTGCAGTTCGCGTGCTTCCAGCTGCTGCTGCTGCTCCTTGTGCTGCTCCAGCAGACCGCCAAGTGTCTCCTGTCCCCTTCATGCTGCGTCTCCTTGCCACTGCAGCACTCCGTGGGGTTTGCTGCAGCAAATAAAAAGCAAAAACAAAATAAAAACAGCATAACTGCAGCTAGCTAGCTAGCTAGCTAGCTAGCTAGCTAGCTAGCTCGGTGCCCAGCTAGACAGACAGCTGTGCATCTCTCTACTTAATGAGTTGGCCGTCCATCTAGCTAGCTAGCTAGCTAGCTAGCTGGCTCTCTAGCTAGCCATCTAGCTAGAAATCCAGCTAGATAGCTAGCTAGAAACCTAGCTAGCTAGCTAGCTAGCCAGCTAGCTAGCTAGCTAGCTGGCAATATCCTTCCCACCTCGTCTCCGTCTGCAAGGTCAGCCAGGCTGGAGGGATGCGAGCTTCGGAAGTGGGGGCGGACCTCAGCCTCCAGGCCGTGGCTAGCTAGCCGCTGGCTAGCTGGCCCTTGGCTAGCTGGCCCCTGGCTAGCTAGCCCCTGGCTAGCTAGCCCCTGGCTAGCTAGGCCTCCCCGGGGGCCCCCCAGGCCTCCTGTCTCCCAGCGGTTACAAGAAATGTCCACCATTCCCACAAAGCACTCATCTCGCTGGCAGCCCCCAAAGGGGCCCCCCGAGGGGCCCCTCTGCAGCGACGGCTCGGGGGGCCCCCCGGGGGCCCCCCCAGGGGCCCCCCCGGGGGGCCCCCCAGGGGCCTCCCCAGGGGCCCCCCCGGGGGCCCCCCCGGGGGGGCCCCCGGGGGCCTCAAGGGACTGCGAAGAGACAAGTGAAGAGACAAGAGAGAGAGCTAAAGTACCCCACAGGAAAAGCCCGGCGAGGGGCCCCCGGGGGCCCCCCGGGGGCCCCCGGGGGCCCCTCGGGCCGGCGCTAAGAACTGAAAGGCTCATTGAGGGAAGTCTGGGGGCAGGTGGGGGAGTTGGGGCTGCATGCTTTAGCGCATGCATGCAAAGAAAGGAAAAGAGAAATAAGAAAAGAGTTTGAAAGAAAGAAAGAAAGAAAGAAAGAAAGAAAGAAAGAATGAAAGGAGGAGGGCCAGGGGCCTCGGAGGAAAGGGCCCAGCGCTGGCTGCGCCCCGAGCTTCGGCCAGGCCTTGTTTGGAAACCCTAATGCGTAAACCCTAAACCCTAAACCCTAAACCCTAGGTCGGGCGCGGAGGCCCCGGGGGCGCGAGGAGCGGGCGCCGGGGTGTACAGACACCCGAGAGCCCTGGCAAGAAGCCCCGAAAGGCCTTCGAAGGGTTTGGGACTTTTGGGAAAAGAAGAAAGTGGAAAAGAGGAAAAAAGCAGAAAGGAGTTGTGCTGCTGCACAGCTAGTTGGCTCGCCGGAGCCGCTGCTGCCCGCCGCAAGTCCGAAGGAGTGGAAGGGAATAAAGAAACAAAAAAAGAAAAGAAAAAACAAACTCAAAGAAAGCAAGAGTTTTTGCAAAGAGGAAGCAGCAGCAGCGGCTCCGCCCAGGCCGATGCTGCGGCTCTTGCCCGCCTCGCCGCTGCGGATCGGGGGCTTCTGCGCGCCAAACAAACGCCAAATGCCTTTTTTTCCGTTTATTTATTCTTATTTTCCATTTTTAATTGATTTGGAGCTCTTCAGAACTTCAAACGGGAAAAAATGGTGGCCGCTGGCCGCCGCGCGCTCGCCGTGCTCGAGCTCAGGTGTACAGACACCTCGGCAACGCGTGACCTCCGCTTTCGCGCTTCTTTGCCTTCACTTTTGCTTTTCTTTTATCCTTTTTCAGTTATTTATTTATTTAAACCCTCTTTCAGAGAGTTACAGCTTCTACTTCAACGCAGAAACTGAAACCCCGCCCCAGACCGCACAGACCAGTGGACCCCCTCGCCAGGGTTTAGGGTTTAGGGTTTAGGGTTTAGGGTTCCGGCGCTACAACGCCAAATATGGACTAATAATTCACAGTTTAGACTTTAGTCACTCCAATGCAGCCTCCACGCCCATAAACCCCAAACCCTAAACACCAAACCCTAAACCCTAAACCCTAAACCCGAGGCCAGACAGATCTCCCTAGCAGGACTAGGGCATTACTGCGAAACAGCTAAAAACTTGCTGAAAGTGCAATTTTTGCATATTCCAAACCCTAAACCCCAAACCCTAAACCCTAAACCCTAAACCCTAAACTCTCGATGGTTCGCATCCAGCTGAGCGCTGGTGAGCGTCCGCATTGAAGCCCAAAGCCTGAACTCCAAGCGCTAAACCCTAAACGCTAGACTTCAAACCCTAAACCCTAAACCCTAAACCCTAAAACCTAAACCCTAAAACCTAAACCCTAATCTATAAACTAAACTCTCACAAGCGCCGAGTGTGTGTGCTGAATTTCCGCAACACCATCTAAGCCCAAAACCCTAAACCCTAAACCCTAAACCCTAAACCCTTTTCATGCCGTTACTATCCCAGAACCTTTCTTGTGATTTTTGGATCTCTTCAATATATATGTCGCTCGGGTTAAGGGTTTAGGGTTTGAGCGAGGGAAACAGATGCAGAAACCCTAAACCCTAAACCCTAAACCCTCAACTCCAGGTTTTTCAAGTCTGCAGCTCTGCAGAGTAAGTGAATGAGCCGCCGGAAACTGCGGGGCCCTCCTGGCCATCCCAAACCCTAAACCCTAAACCCTAAACCCTAAACCCTAAACCCCAGGTCATTCTAACTCGTCCGCGTCCTCCTCTCTTTCGCTTTCTTCTTCAAAAAAGACAGAACCTTTCTGACGCCGCAAACGCACGGAACAACGAGCTAGGGTTTGGGGTTTAGAGCTAGGGTTTGGGGTTTAGAGCTAGGGTTTAGGGTTTCGAGCTAGGGTTTAGGGTTTAGAGCTACGGTTTTAGGCTAGGGCGAACGTTCAGAGTTGAGGCCAACGGTTTAGGGTTTGGGGCTTGAAGCTTAAATTTAGGGTTTAGGGTTTGGATCTAGAGTTTGGGATTAATATCTAAACATCAAAATGTGGGGTTTAGGGTTTAGGGTTTAGGCTATGGCTGAAGGTCTAGGGTCTGCGTGTAGGGCTTAGGGTTTACATCTAGGGTTTAGGGTTTACATCTAGGGTTTAGGGTTTGGGGTTTGTCTCACCGGCTGCCAAATGTGCAGCTGATTATCGTTTGCCACAGACGCCACCAACTGAGAACAGCAGCGAACGCAAAACCCTAAACCCTAAACCCTAAACCCTAAACCCTAAGCCTAAAACCCTAAACCCTAAGCCCCAAACCCTAATCCTGAAACCCCAAATCCTAAACCCTAAACGTTAACTCCTCAAAGCCTGACATTCACAGAGTGCGCTTGAGGCATAAGGCACTAGGGTTTAGGGTTTAGGGTTTAGGGTTTAGGGTTTAGGGTTTAGGTACGTGGGGAAACTGCTCTTCGCAGTTCCACGAGGCGTCGTAGACGTCGGCGCGGTGGCCCCCATGAGTAAACTGCAAAAATAAATAAATAAATAAATAAATAAATAAATAAATAAATAAATAAATAAATAAATAAATAAATAAAGAAATTAAATAAAATGAAATAATAATAATGAGGGTAATAACGAGTAAAACCCTAAACCCTAAACCCTAAACAAGCGACTGTCTGCACGGACTCTGCAAGCGGCGCCTCCCGGCAACCCTAAACCCTAAACCCTAAACCCTAAACCCTGGCCCGTAAGCTCTATTTCGCGTCGATTCCCAAACCCTACGCCCTAAACCCTAAACCCTAAACCCTAGCCCGTAAGCCCTGTTTCGCGTCTCGCCCCAAACTCCAAACCCCAAACCCTAAACCCCAAACCCTAAACCCCAAACCCTAAACCCCAAACCCTAAACCCCAAACCCTAGACCCCAAACCCTAAACCCTAAACCCTAAACCCTACAAGCAGCTCGGGGGGCCCGTCTTCCGCGTCTTCGGGGTCTTGTTCCTCTCCCGCTTTTTCCAAATCCCACAAAAAAGTGTATTTGTTGGAATCTCCACTTAAAAGAAATGAGGGTTTTTGAAGAGAAAAAGAAACTGCAGAAACTTTGCATGCACTTGGCCCTTCGAGTGTATGGACAGCTGCGCTGGGCCCTTCGAGTGTATGGACAGCGCCGCACAGCCGCCGACGGTCGTACAGTTGCAGCAGCTGCGCAAACGCCCAAACCCTAAACCCTAAACCCTAAACCCTAAACCCTAAATCCTAAACCCTCAGCCGTAGGGAAGTCCTGCGGCGGGAGCAGTGCGCGCAGCGTCGCCGCCAGAAACCCTAAACCCTAAACCCTGGACCCGAAACCCTCAGCGCTGCAGCAGCGCACCGACCTCCTCCAACCCTAAACCCTAAACCATAAACCCTAAACCCTAAACCCTAAACCCTAAACCCTAAACCCTAGGCTCACCCCGTCGTCGCCGCCGCAAACGAACAGCTCGGGCTTCAACGGAGTCGTGGCGAGGCAGTTGATGGGACTGCCTTTGCAAGTCACCTGCGGCGCACAAGGGTTTAGGGTTTAGGGTTTAGGGTTTTTAAGAATCAGGGTTTAGGGTTTGGCGTTTGCAGTGGTCTAGCCCTCCAACTCTCACCTTGCCAATCGGCTCTTTCGGGGCTTGGCGGATATCCCAACTGCGCATGCAACACAAACCCTAAACCCTAAACCCTAAACCCTAAACCCTAAACCCTAAACCCTAAGCATAAAAGCTAATATACCAAGTGTTTACTTATCGGCTCGCTCACTGAGGTCCCCAAGCGCTCAGCCCGAAATCTTAAACCCTAAACCCTAAACCCTTCACCCAAAACCCTTAACCCTAAACCCTCAACCCTAAACCCTAAACCCTAAACCCTCACAGAGAAGCCACACTGTCTTCTGCTGCAGCAATAAGAATGTCTGCTGCTGCCCAGCAGCAAGAGTTTAGCCTCGTTGGCATTTCGCAAGCTAAAACACTTTTGGCGCCTTCTGTTGCTGCAGCAAACATCTCCAAACCCTAAACCCTAAACTCTGGACTTTAAACCCTAAACCCTAAACCCTAAACCCTAGTTGATTTTATACACTTAACCCTACTTGGCCGTAAAGCACAATTGCAGAACTGCGCCGGCGAGAGCTTGCGCGCAGACTCTGAGCTAAGTGCATCCCCCACAAAAGCTTAGGGTTTAGGGTTTAGGGTTTAGGGTTTAGGGTTTAGGGTTTACGTTTTAACTGCAAGGCAGCAAAGGCGTCGTGGACGGCCCAAGTCCCGTCAGAGCCACAAGAGACAATTTGGCCGCCGCGGTAAGGGTTCCAGCTCAAGCAGGTCCTGAATAAACCCTAAACCATAAACCCTAAACCCTAAACCCTAAACCCTAAACCCTAAATCGGGATCCCAAGTGCGGGAGGCGCCGCATGATGGTAAAACGAGGGTTTAGGGTTTAGGGTTTAGGGTTTAAGGTCACCAGTTGGACTCCCGAGGATGAGGAAGCCTCTTAACCACTTTTGTTTTGTACGAAGAGAGGCCGTAGTGGAAACCCTCGTAGTCTGCGCCACAAACCCCAAACCCTAAACCCTAAACCCTAAACCCTAAACCCTTGATCCTCGGGGGAAGCCAGCAGCCTAGGGTTTAGGGTTTTTAGTCTGACCGCCTCTCTCTTTGTATTCGTTTGTTTGAGTGTCATCAAAGGGGCCAACAGGCAGCTCCACCTAAATCACAAACCCTAAACCCTAAACCCTAAACCCTAAACCCTAAACCCTAAACCCTCCTAGCTGCCGCAAATCTCCAAACCCTGGACCCTAGATCTCTGTCCCACTCTACGAAGCCAAATCCTTCCGAACCCAAAGTTCTGGCCACGAGCCCCAAACCCTCCACCCTAAACCCTAAACCCTAAACCCTAAACCCTAAACCCTAAACCCTAAACCCTAAACCC